CTCACACTTAGTCCGAATAACATGCTACATGAAACACAACCTCTACAGACAGCATTGTCTATAAACAATTACCATTAATGCTGTTTCATTCAAAGGAACATGCTGTGCACCTACTGAGTACTGAGCAAACACGCTGAGAAACTGAGCGACAGCATCATTGCAAACTTGTGCGACACTATTCACTGAAACTAAAACTAGCTGGTGATGTACATCGTACAACAATACAGTCTCTCCACAGCCTATTTTACAAAGACAATTTTAAAAGATCACTACATTAAAGTTAATATTTTGCAATTCTAGTCAAACAGGGTAATGGATGGTAGCAAATGCTGACTTTTCGCCTTCAATAGCCTGCATGTCTTCACGCATAATGGGGAAGTGGTTGTGATTGTGTGTGTTTAAAAACTGACTAAAACTGCAGTGTTTGCCTGGTTTGAATATCAAAAAAGAGGTGGAATGTTTAAAGTGACTTTTGTGTCCAACTGTCATGACATCAGCAGCACTTCTCTGTGCGAGCAGACTCTGGTTCACTGCCAGCTTGTGTCGTTTGTTCATTAGCGCAGCAGTTTTCACTAGGATGGTATCAGATTGTATCGGATGTTAGTATCCATGCCTTTTTATGAGTATGAGTATGAGTAAAGCACAGTATCAGGCTAGATACCTCCGTAGAAATTACCACTGGTATGATAATGCTAATTTCAGCTAGCTATGGGATTCGACCTCTGTGGGATATGCAGTGTCATGTTAATGAGCTAACAGTCATGTACATTCTCTTTTCTATAGTTTAATACTATAGAACTGGGGCTTAAATACAGACTTTTGGAGCTTGTAAAATAGGCATGTAACATGTTTACTTCGTGTAATGTAGTTTTTAATTGAATCCTTTAGTGAATGCTTAGTCTGTTAGTCTGCTAGCTTTTGAAAGAAAGGCTTTTGGTAGTTTTGAAAAACCAAAATGAAGCAATTGATTGACAGATTGACAGTTTTTGACTCTTTAACATGTATTTAAAATGCAATAAAACTGCTGTTTTAACTCTTTCATTTTCTAATATGTGGGTGCATGTATACACCAATCAGCATTATGACCTTATGTGGTGGTGGTGTGTTAGCGTGTGTTGCGCTGGTCTGAGTGGATCAGACACAGCAGTGCTGCTGGAGTTTTTAAACACCTCAGTGTCACTGCTGGAGTTTTTAAACACCTCAGTGTCACTGCTGGACTGAGAATGGTCCACCAACCAAAGATATCCAGCCAACAGCGTCCTGTGGGCAGTGTCCTGTGGCCACTGATGAAGGACCAGAGGATGACCAACACAAACTGTGCAGCAGCAGATGAGCTATCGTCTCTGACTTTACATATACAAGGTGGACTGACAAGGTAGGAGTGTCTAAAAGAATGGACAGAGGTGGACACTGTTGAAAAACTCCAGTGGCACTGCTGTGTCTGATCCACTCAGACCAGTGCAACACACACTAACACACCACCACCACGTCAGTGTTACTGCAGTGCTGAGAATGATCCACCACCCAAATAGTACCTGCTCTGTGAGGGCCCATGGGGGTCCTGACCACTTAAGAACAGGGTAAAAGGGGGCTAACAAAGTATGCAGAGAAACAGATGGACTAAAGTCTGTAATTGTAGAACTACAAAGTGCACCTATATAGAAAGTGGAGCTGATAAAATTGACAATGAGCGTAGAAACAAGGAGGTGAAAAGTTTGCCCTGTCAAAAGTTGTTGCAGTACTTAAACTTACATGCAAAGAAGTTTGCGCATGCATAATATACATACAACCAAATTAACATAAGTTGACTTGCACCTTTTATAGCAGAACAGCTAAACATGCTGTGTTTAGGCTGGAGAGAAAGTTGTTATCGTGTGGAAAAAATTTAGCTGTAGCTGATGTGGAAAAAAACTCTGGATTAACTTCTCTGCTCTGCATTCTGATTGGTGACCACTGAGAAAGTCAAGTTCGGTCAAAGTTTATTTATATAGCACTTTTTACAACAGGCATTGTTGCAAAGTTGTTTTTAGTTATCAAACATACTTCTGTTCAATTTGATTGATAACATTGTCATTCAGTGTTGGATGCCTTGTAGCTCCAGTGCAAAATTAAAGAACACCTCAGACCCCAAACACATCTTGGTCAATGAAGTTCACTTGGGTAAAGGAAATTTTGTTGATTTGATTTTTTCGGCCATACCATGGCTTTAGCATATGTGTGTCAAATCTTAGCAAATGCCAGCAAATGCACTTTAAGTTTAAGCAATGTTCAACGTTTACTCCTCTAGGCTTTGTGTACGTTTAGGATTACAGTGTACTGTCTTGCCCTGTCAGTGTCGACCTGAGGCGGTATGCCCTGCCCTGTCAGTTCTCTCCCTGTCTCTGTGCTTATAACCCCTGTTAGCTTCATGAGGCTGGAGTGCTAGGCCTCTGATATGTTTGCCTCTGCTCTTTGCGCCTGCCATTCAAAGCTTTATCTGCGTATTGACGCAAGGGGGGGGGGATTAGGTTAGCGTGAAACAAGCCAGGTTTATCAGCTCCCGCTGCTTTCCCACCCTGTTATGCCTCAAAAAAGACAAAGAAAGAGACAGAATATGCACATATTTTCACAACTTTCTGACACCTTCTGTCATTATTGTGAAGTATTTGCATCTCATACCACAGCTCATAGAACATGAACAAGTGTGCCTGCAAAGTGCCAGTTATTCAAATTAATAATCCTTTTCTTTAAAATTTGACTTTGCCTTCTAACACGCCTGGGATGGATTTGCGTGGAAATAATAAAAAAATGTAAAGAGAGCAAGAGGCGTACTTTGTTTGAAAAGCTGTCACTAACGTAATCCTTACTGGCCGTGGGACGCATGCAGAAAAGCTGCTGCGTCTCCTCTTTTTTCACCCCTATCTCTGACCGCCACCGTGGAAATGTCATTAATTTTGTCCTGAACTAATTGCCACCATTTTGACACACCACTCGTATCTTAATCCTCATCACATCATAAGGATTTCCACACCGTGCACTGATGGGCTCTTCCAGTCGGGCCTTCTCTCTCTCTCTCTCTCTCTCTCTCTCTCTCACACACACACACACACACTCTTTCTCTCTTTTTCTCTGTCTCTCTCACACACACACTCAAACACACACACACACACACACACACACACACACACACACACACACACACACACTCGAGAGCAGTGGGTTCTTTGTGATGACTTATTAAATACAAAATGGCTGTCATCCTTCCTCAGAGAGCCACAGGCAGGAGGGGGGATCTGAAGGTGGGTGATGGATCAATTTAGCTCACAGTGCTGTTCTCATGCCAGTGCTTTTAATGAGCTTTGATGTTCACGTTGAGCTGCATCAGAGAGACACGCTGGTACAGACGGATCCTTTTCCCCTGCAATGTTTCATACAGAGGAGAGCATCTTCGGCATTTTGCAGGAATACTTAAAACGAAAGTCTCAGCTCTAGCTGTATTCCGGTTTTATTTTGTTTTTGGCTTTTTTGTAAGTTCGCTAACACACAAAAACAGATAATCTAAATCTAAACTCAATTCCTAAAACCTTTTCTTCAGTTACCAAAGGAACCATTTTGCCAAAAGTTTAGGCAATAATTTTCTGATATGCACAAACTGAAGAACTTCTGCAACACTTTTTGCATAACTGTAAACACAAAATTTGCCATGTTGTCACACAGAAAGCTCTGCCATTCGGTACTCCAGTTAAGAACAGATCAGAAACAGATAGCCCACACTTATAGTGGTTTACACATGAACATCTCTAAATGCTAATAGCAAATTCCACTGATTTTATTTCTGAAAATTCATCCAAAAGTTTACAGAAACACTAGCAGCACTGCTGTGTTTGATCCACTCATACCAGCGCAACACACACTAACACGTTACCACCACGTCAGTGTCACTGCAGTGCTGAGAATGACCCTGCCCAAAAACTACCTGCTCTGTGGGGGCTCTGATTATTAAAGAGCAGAATAAAGAGGCTAACTATTCAGAGTAACAGATGAACTACAGTTTGTGATTGTAGGACTACAAAGTGCACCTATAACGGTAAAGGGACCTAATAAAATGAACAGTGAGTGTAGACACAAGGAGGTGTACTTAATGAAGTGGCTGGCCAGTCCAGGTTTTTTATTCATTTTCACTGTAGAAATTACGAAGAATTATTTGTTATCGGTGTTTTGGTATTTGGTAGCGGCTTTGGTGTTTACTTGGTATCAGATCGAAAAGAAAAACTTTTTCCAGCGCTCATGAAAGACGTTAGTTAAGTAAAAAAAAAAAAAAAATCACAGTCTGTAGTTTCACAGTCTCATAGCTCTGTACTGCACAAAATGACATTATACGCTCATACAAGCAGAAAACTCTTGTGCCCGTAGTCTAATCACCTACGTATTTCCTTTGTCCTCTTTCCTTTGTTTCTTATTGGTGCCACTCCAGATCAATAGGCCGAGGGTCTCTGGTGCATTTTCTCTCTGCCCTCTCATTCCTCACATTGATTTTCTGCCGGTGACCTATGTAGCTGTGTGCACAAGCTGGGAGTCAAGTGCTCCATGACCCAGCCATATACCAAGAAATCAACTCCTGCAGCAGGGTCAGTTGGTCTGGCCTGACTTTAAAGACTTTGTGACTTTCTTTCCGGTCACAAGAAGGTGAATGTTACACTGTAAAAGCTTAGACCAGAACAGACTCACTATCTAAAGCAGAACCCAGGTCATTAATTCTGCAGTGCTTTTGAGCAAGATAACAAATCACATGTTTAATCACATAGTTTGTGATATTATGTCGCCATCTGGTGGTAGATTTGGCATTTGCAGGCCATTTGGAAATATTCCTTTGGAGGATCCAACGCCAATTCCCAGTACCCTTCGGTGATTTCCTTGCTCCGACATACTTTCAGCTATCTGGGCTGGGTTTCCCACCAAACTGTGCTGAACACCACTGCAATATTCATTTTAAAATACAATATATTGTCATACACACTAAAAGATTTTCAATGTATTTTATTATTCATAGTGGTACAGTTTTAATATTTCATTATGGGTCATCAGAAACGATTAACTGGATAAAATTGTGTGCCACAAGTTGGAAACTACCCCAAAACCAGCATTAAATAGAAATAATAAACAACAGTAATAGGTATAACAATAAATATTCACCTTTTGACTATTTAGTATTGCTTGATTTGTAATCAGAAGTAAAGATTGGCCACTTTACACCTTTGTGAGATTTTGTTTAAAAACTCTTCCAAAAGGTCATACAGGCAGAGTTGTGTTCAAGTCTTCTTGCCTCAAAACCGAGTGCCATAATTTTCAAAAAACAAAGCAGGGTTCTTTAATTCTCCAGGAAAAGAAAATCTAAGAGGTGACCCTTGTCTCTTACGGCGATCAAAATGACCATGTTTATTAAAGTAGTGAATGACATGTTGGCACTATTTTATATTGTTAGTTTTTGTAGTTTTTAGATAAAAAGCAGAATTGCACTATCCCTTTCATATAAACAGCATGTAGTCTTGCTGCTGTCATTTGTAGGTTCTGTATCTTTACTGAAATTTCTGTGAACTCACTCATGGGTCAGTTTATCTTGAAACTGAGGAGCTGTGTTTTATAGTTTAAAGCTACGATATCCAGATCTCTATACTAGTGTATATACCCCAGCTGTAGTCGATCAGACAACACAGGTGTGGTATCCAAATTTTGACTATTTAGTTAGCACTGTAACTATAAGGCTAACGTTGCTAACAAATACGAGTCAAGTCACTCAAATATTTTCTGTAAACACATCCCTGAAAAATCTTGCAACCTGCTCGCATCCATGTCTTTAGTAAGGAAGCACAGACTTAATGTGGTTTTGGACACAGTATGACTTATTGGACAAAATGTATAAAGCTTCATCATCACGTTAGATAAGAGGGTGTCTAAAATAGCTGCCTGCATTGTTCAGCTACATGACTTTTGTCTTCTAAACCACATTAAGTCTGCAGGACTTTAATGAAGAGCTGGATGCAGTCTGAGTAGGCTGAAAATAGTTTTGGGGATGATGTATTTATGTCGGCTGACCATATTGTGGTTTTAAAAAGAGGACAAAGGAGGCAGGAGGTGCAGACTGTAAAAAGCAAACGTCAAAATGAAAGCAAAGCTGAATCCCGGTTATTTTGTCAGGTCCTAAAAAAGATGACGTCCTGAAAAAAAAGAGGATGTATGTTCACCTAATTTGCGTAAGACATTTGGGTGACTATTGACTTCTAATTTTTGTTAGCAATGTTAGCTAACTGTTTCTAACTGCAGTGCTAACTATAAAAGAACTATAAAAGAAGTGCCTATAAACCTGCATTTTTTTTTCTGCCCTGTTATATGCACTCAGAACTCAGGGGGTGATGGACTGACTGATTGGCTTACATATGTTGCTTATTTATATGGGGCGTGGCCTAAGATTGTCGGACTGGCTCATTAGAGGATTCTGTTTCTTGTTTACGTGGCGGTGACACCTTGGGATCCCGGTTTCTGAAGATGAACAGTGTAAATGACAGGACCAATCTGCATCATGGGGTGCAGATGCAATTGGTTTTATTTAAAAAAAACAATGTCTTCTCACAGCCCAACTACTGTCCCTTTACTATCTACTATCTATAGAGAGTGACCTCAGAGTGAGCCCCCCCAGACTATGGCTACATTAACAGAGTAGTGTGGCCTCTTTGCCAGATCAGTTCCTTCAACTGTTTCCTCCCTCATGGCCTCTTTGTATCGACTCCCATATATATTAGCATATATGCAGTATATATTTCACTATATTGAACGTGGTGTTTTAAAAAATAAATGATATGGCAAAGATTAGCTTCAGTGCTGGTAGAAAACATCTGAGGACAAAAACGAATGCCAAGCAGTACAGTGCTTCTTAACCCAAGAATGTCTCTGATTTAGAAGCACATTCAACAAACACACAGTTTTCGAAAGTAGGAAAAAAAAAAGTTTTTCTTCAAGCTTGTGTCCATTAACAAATCATGTGTAGCATCGCAGTTAAAACATTCCACTTTAAAAGAAAAAAAAATTCCGGAGCTTAAGAGCGTCCTTGTGTCTTTCTCAACCAGATTAAGGCTTTAGACCCAAAGGCACAAATCTCCTTTAAGAGTAACACTGAGAAAGCCAGAGACCTTCTGAAAGCTTTGATTAGCACAGAACAAGGCTTACAGCACAACCTGACAGTTCTTAGGACATCTAAAACCCCCACGTTCAGCTTTTGTTGCATTCCGCACACCAAACTCTTTCACTCCCCCAGCGTGCCTGCCTTCAGTTTAATATTCAGGTTGTACAAAAGAAAAGGAGAAAAGAAAGGATGTCGAGGAGCCCTCAACCGGAAATCCAAAATATGAAGAATCTGCTGAGACGAGGAGCTTTGAAGGTTATTCCATACTTCTATTATTGCAATACTAATTTCTCTGCTCATGCTGTCTGTGGTGAAAGGCATTCTAATCACTTCTTGCATTATGAGTGGAATTTTTGAGGCTGTGTAAATGAAATATCGCATGTAGCAATGTATTTCATTTGATGCACTCAGCTCCTTTTCAGTTATGAATTTTAATATCGTGTCTAAATTCTACAAGGTTTCGTATGAGTAAGAATTCTTAAGGTAAACTGCAGTTAGGGACATTCCCTATTTCCAAAAGGTATCATATATGTGACTGATTGCTTCTACTATGAGAAATGTAAATTTTAAGCCTACATGCAAGATGACATAAGGGTGTGGCTGCCTGTTTTTTTTTTTAAATAGTCCTTCAAAGGGAAACTGTATGAGTAATTCCATGGTACTCCACTTCAGTAGAATTCTATTTCTATCTATACTGATTGCTCATGTCTTACCAAGCCTGTCAAAAACAACAACAGAAGCAAATATAGTTCGTCAACAATAAACCTTTTCCAATCCACAGCAATTGGAAACTTAACATATCACGTCTGAAGTACATTTTCATTGGCAAAGCAAAAATAATGGCAGGTACTCTTGCTCTGAGGTGGCGTAAGGACAGGAACGCTACCTCTTGCATCAAGACGAATCAAAGTGTCCGTTGTGAGGTGAATAAATTCAAATATAAATGTTTTTCAAGTTGCGTGCACGTAGCTTGTAAAAAGAGAACTGATGTACAGTGTGCGTCCGTATGCGTGTTTAGGGCGAGAGGGATTCGGCCTAGCTCTGAGAGAAGTACTCCAGTACAATACGCAGGTGCCCTAGCCGGTCCTTCAGTGAGGTAAGGGACAGAACTGTAGTCTGGTAGGCTGGATCTAACTGAAGCACTGACAAGAGCCACCAACACCAAGCTGGTCCATCAGCAGATGCCTGCAAAACAAATACACAACACTAAAATGACCACTTACAAAAAGGAGGAAAATACACTAGCAATCAAAAGACTGGGAACACATTGCCTTTTGTCAGCAGTGTTTAATTTTCACTCTTGCTACACAACAGTCTTATTCCGATTGGATTGGTTTATCAGGGAGACGTCTGAAAAGCACCTCTCCTCAGTGATTAAACCCTCTTATCCAGATGGCAATAAAATTATGCCTGGGTGAGCGAGTTTCTACAGGGTTGTATTTTATTTTACCAGAATTTAAAATCAGATCTTAGAACTGACAGTACTGAGCAACAGTCATTACTTCTAGGGAACTTTCTATGAAAAAAAGTTCTAAAAAAGTCAATGATGGGATGTTTACTTTCTAAAATGTATTCTGGTTTAGATTACTGATTACCTGTTTAAAAAAAAAGTAATTGTAACCTAATCCAAAGGATTAGAATACTAAAGTAATATACTGCACTACAGTGTTGTAAGAAACACAATGATAGATTATACATGGCTTAAAAACTGTGCCTCACACAAACCGTCTCTGATCAAAATGGCCAAATCTAAATGGAGTAATATACAGAAATATTTTAAACATAAAGATGATAAAATTGTACTCTCTAATTTGTTTGAGTTTAGCCAGGCACACTTGTGATCAGTGAAAATGCTGACCAGCATTGCTCCCCAGGCGAGTGATTTTAACAACAGAATAAAAAATTCTGGTACACTGAAACGGAGAGCTCTGAGACTAAAATGCAGGGGAACAAGTAATTCTCAGTTCATTGTTTTCAACATACAATTTCAATATAGTTTAAAAACTATACTGCTGTCCTGGGATTTTGCCATATTTGTTAAAAATCTGTCGCTTACTACACCAAAGCCAAAAGATCAATTGGGTATCAGGTATTATTTTGATACCCCACATCATTAAAATGTTTGGGCTACATGTAGGCTAGTACTGTCATAAACACTTATATTTGACATTGCTTTCCCTAGAACAATCTGGTCATAGTCCTAATATATTTAGTATTGTAAACTGAGAAAGTTTGCTAAGTGTATTTTAAAAAGCTAGGTGTCCCCAAATCTTTGACATGCAGTGTATAGGCAACGAGAAGGAGCAGGTATCCAGTGATTTTTCTTTACTACACAACCTGTATGGGCTTCTGTGAATGTCACAGGTATCGTAGTGTGTGGATGGGTGTTTGAGAGTATGCATGGGTGTGTGCTCAGACCTGGATGTTGTCGTCTTTCTCAGGCATGGCTCCATACTGGCGGCTGATCTGCTCACGGATGCGGCTGTTCAGCCGGTGATACCACTCCCTCGCCTGCTGATACACACTGTCATGGAGACGCTGCAGCATTTCAAGCTCTGCACCATCCGCCTATATTTAGCCCAGCGCACATGCAAACACATACACGCACTCATGATTATTCACCCTGACAAGAAAGTGGTAATTTGAGGTCTGAAATATATATTATGCACTATAATTTATTACTTGTGAGATCCTCAAATAAATTCCTCACAACCTACTTCATACACTGAGATGCCAGTTAATTAGGTATACCTACCATGCACATGCACTCATTGGCCTTTTTATAAATCATTCAGCTCCACTTTGTAGGTTTACTATTACTGATTGTAGGTCAGTTGCTGCAAGACTTGTCAACCACCTTCTATTCCTAACTATCAAAGAAAAAGAACCACTGCTGTCCAGAAGTTATTTGGTCGGTGGGCTATTCTCTGCAGCGCAGTGACGCTGACAAGGTAGTGGTATATTCGTGTCAGTGGCGTAGCTGCAATTCAGAATTTAAATCCATAGCTGCAGTTTAAATTCTGGATCCCCCCAACCTGGTTACAGCTTTACCACAGCCAACTACAACTCCTGCTAACTAAATAATTAGCTTATAGAGACTAGCAGAGTTCAGATAACAACAGTAGAGTGAGCTAATTTTGTGTTTACATGTTGGCGCTGGTAAAAAAGCCTCTTTCTATGCCTTTTGCATGACTGATGGGGGCATGTAGCCATGTAACACTGCCAGACTGATACCACCCACAATAAATTTATGAGGCTTTAACGAGAGCTTTGTCTGTCTTCTATTTATTTAAGTCACAAGAATGCAAGAACATAGTTTTATTGAGATCAAAGAACTTTTAACAGTCAGATATCCCCCCTGTAGCTACACTCCTGGTTTGTGTTGAGTTTGTATGATTGTGTCAGGCACATACTGGGGTTTTTAAACACTGTGTGCACTTACCGGGCAATTTAACAGACACCTACCTTACTGGTACACCTTGTAGGTGTACAATTTGTCATCTTTTTCCATGCAGTTTGCATTACTAATTCTCTAGCCCTTCATCAGTGGTCAGTTTGTGACCACAGGACCACTGTTGGCTTATTTTCAACTGGTTAACAGTGGTCCTATAGTGGTCCCTTTCAATCGATGGACAGGGTAGGGTCCGGCTAATAAATTGAGCAGTAAAAAATTGTTGCTGTCAGTAACTGTATATGTACAAAATGCATCTATATGGTAGATGTAGCTAGTTAAAATAGCCAATGAATAACTGTTACAAGGCACAAAGTACCTAATAAACTGTAACTCACTGTACCCCGACATAAAGCAAGTTTAATCAGTTTGTGCTTTATACTAAACAATAACCATTCCATCTTTGTCCTGAGGAAAGATCCTTACAAACCCTCTAGAAGAGAGTCAGGTCAGAGCAGGAGAGAAACCCAGTTAGCAGACAATAGGTATATAAATGAAAAATAAGAGCACGCCAGTTAAAGAAAGAGGGCACTGGTCCAGGATTAGCTGACCTTGAGTCTAATTTAGACTCTATTAAAGCAAACCTTGTGGTCTTCCAGATACTCGATGTCAGCCGTGTGGTATCCATCCCGCTGGCCTCTCTTAAGCACACGGAAGCGGCTGCCCCCCACCGTGTCCACATACGAGCGTCCGTCAGGGAGCAGGTCCAGGTCCAAAATCTCCAGCATACAGCCGTAATCTGCAAACCTGGCCCAACATACACACATATACAGACACACATACATGCTTTTACTTAATTTGTCTGTGACCACTGTCACTGCATCATGACCAATCAAATCATTTCGTCAAGTTCTGCCTTATTTCACTGCTTAGCAACTGTTTTTGACTGCCATTGCCTCAAGCTTTCAGTTTGTTATTAGCGCTCATCATGTTAATGAGTACACTGAGGTCCTCAATAGTTTTGGAAGGATTTTATGAGATTCACTTCAGAAGACGAAACAATCAGCTGACCTCAGAACAACTGTGGTTTCGCTGTAAATGTAACAGCCCGCTGGGCTTATCTCTGTACGAGACGCTATGCTAACATTACCCAAAGTACATTTGACTTCTTGAGAGTTACTACAGGTATGCAGCACACGTACTATAAGTTTACATACAACAGAGCTATGATAAAAGTGTGAGAATTAATGATGGTAATTAACAGAATTTGCTTGTAAAATGCAAACCCCATAATTCATATTTTGTTTGGACCACTCATATTGTTAATCTGCATGCTTTAATCTAGTCCCAGTAGCTGCTCTTTAGGCTACAAGCTCCTTAGTTAGCTAAATTACCAAACAAATGAGAAATTAACCCTCTTAGTACACAGCACAACATAAGAAAATGTGTCTACCAAGTTAGCCCACCCACTTTTTCAGTCCAACCTAAAAATGTATTTCTACCTATGCCCCTGTATTGCCCTAATGATTATAACTATTATTGCCCTCACTGTTGTTATTATAAAAGGCAAGCATACACCTAGAAAATATTCATTAAAGAAGTCATTTGAGAAAAATTTATGATTCAAATCAGACAAAGGTCCAAGCTGACAAAGGCTTATTAATTAAATTTAAATGTTGTTAAATGGTACAAAAAGCCATAGCTAGTTTCCCAAACAAAGATTAAGGCTAATGTCAAAACTAAAATTAAGCTGCAAGTGGCAGTCTTCGAGGTCCATGCACTGCTAAGCACAATAAGCCCACATTGAGGCATTATGTTATAGCAATATGGTCATAGCAGAAAATGACAGGCAGTCAGAGTTTTGAAAAGATTTAAATTACTGCAAAACATCAAAGCAGATCCTAAAGTGTTGTACTACCTGAAATGGCAGATATACATGTTACATGTATTACTTGGGCACTAAATATGACTCAAGAGGTAAGAAATTTTGAATATACTTTAACAGCCAGTAGCCTGTGTTGACTGACCCTTTGCCGTGCTCGTAGCTGCACATGCCAAACTTCTTGGTGCCGGTCTCCATGCAGCGCCGCATCATTAGCCGATAGCGAGGCTCAAAGACGTGCAGCGGACATGGGATGCCAGGGTAGGCCACCGTGCACACAAAGATCGGGATGTCCTTGGTCAAGCTGAAGAGGAAGGACACATGGTAAACTGAGTAAAACAGTCAGACCTTCAGCACTTGTGTCATGATGGTGAATTCCCAACTGCATTAGACATTACATTCATCACACTATTTATTTGCTTGATCTATGAAAAATACCACCAATTTCTTGGTGTTTCTAAATCTGGAAAGGTGCAAAACTCAGCCTGTGTGGAGGTCTATAGGAAACACTGGGATACCTAAACTTAGGTACCACAGTGTGGGTGACTCACTTGGAGAGCTCAGCCATCTCAGAGTCATGCACCTGTTTCCTTTCGGCCAGCTGCTGGGGGAAGAGGCGGGTCATAATCTCCTGCAGCAGCACCGTCGGGTTGTACTTCCTGTTCTTGAAATACTTGTGTAGGACGTAAGAAGTGAGATTTGCAACCGCAAAGGAAGAGGAGGCGAATTAGCAATGCATAGAAATAGAATTAAGACTAAAGATGAACTTTTCATATCAGCAAAAGGCCACTCCTACAGCTAAAAATGGATACTGAGTTCTTCAGGGACTGTGAAATGTGCAGAAACCCAAAATAGAACACTGTGAGTAAAGCAAGGCAGGCTTAGGGTATTAAGGAATGTGTTTGAGATTTTAAGTGTGCTTGAGACTAACCTCTTGCAGTGACTGTTTGCAGAGTGGGCAGCGGAGATTATGGTCCAGACTTCTCTCAATACAGTTCTTACAGAACGTGTGGCCACAGGGAGTAGTGACCGGCTCATGAAACAACCTTAGGAACATTAACAATGCGATGGAGACCATTCTTTCAAAAATGGGTATAAAGAAACATTGTCTACACCACAGTGAATCGGATAATCCTTTAACCAGCACTGTAGGACAATACAGTTGAAATCACTGTCAACAGTAGAAAAACACTGTATATTTACTCTAACAACAATCTGCTACAGTCAGCTCTGTGATTACTGGCACTTTTGGTACAGATGGGTTAAAAAATTATCATGAAAAAATGTCTTTGTAATTAATTCACTTCACACTGAAAATATGAAAGAAATTCAACCTTTAATTTCAGTAAATTTAGTCTAAGAAATCAAAAACCCTTATTAATTTTGTTTAACTAGACTATATGTGTCATAATTATTGGCAACCCTGCATTTAGTACTTTGTGCAAGCTCCCTCTGCCAAGATAACAACCATGAGTCTTCTCCTATAAAGCTTAATGTGATTGGAGAATACAGAACAATGAATCTGAGACCACTCCTTAATACAGAATCTCCTTCAGGGTCTTAGGTCTTCTCTTTTCGACTCTCATCTTCAGCTCACTATAGCGTGTGAGTGTGTGAGTTTGGACACGTTTTAGATTACAAAGTCCATGGTGCCATGTATCCTAACAAGGTTCCTGTGGCCTTCAGAGGAAAAACAGACCTAAAATATCATAGATTCTCCACCGTTCTTAACAGTGGGCATGATGTTCTTTTCAGTGTAACCATCTTTCTCTTTACTCTTTTCTCTGTTGTTGCCAGAAAGCCCTATTTTTGTCTTATCTGACCAGAGAACACAGTTCTACATACTTTGTTGGCATGAAAGTGACCGTGTAGTTTTGGACAATCGGTAATCCCAAAATGTTGCCATATTCTGCAAATCTCCAGCTATGATCCTTGGAGAAATTTCTGGCTCTCTTCACTGTGCTTCGGGGTAAAACGAACATTCACCCTCTTCTAGGCTGTTTAATTGTAGTGCTGGTTGTTTTAAACTTTGTGATTTTTGAAGGCCAACAATCATTTTTCATTTGTGTAATGTGTAACCTCATATTTATACCCCAGTGGAACAGAAAGTCATATATGACCTCTTAAAAACTCCTGAACACTTAAAAACAAGTGAAATATGAATGGGATCATGCTGCAATTTTTTTCCCTAGGAATTTCAAGGTGTGCCATTAATTGTGATGTTGTTTTGTTAATAAAATATTTTTTGATAAGCATTTTTGTTTTCTTAGACTACATTTTCTTCAATTAAAGGTTAGATTTCTCTCATATTGTTAGGATAAGACTGAACTAATTAATCATAAAGACAATAATTATGCCAGATAAAGCCACAAGTGGCAATGAGTGGGGTTCAAGCACAATGAAGCCAATGAGTTGCACTATTATAGCAACTTCTATGCAGACAGAAGTGGACAGTCAGTGTTTTCACACAGGCCTCCATTTGTCATAATTGTCTCCTCAAATTGGTCTTCAAATCTCATGTTCTTTCTTTTATATAATGTCTGACAGACTTTAGGAGTTGTTTTTTACTTGTTAATCTAAATGTTTTTGTTTAATGAGTAAACCGGCACTTTATCATAGACAGAAGGCAACTAATACAGACTCAAAGTTTATTTAAAAAAGCCACCATTTTTCATAAATCCTGAGCAGGCATAAATTTCACACATACTAACTGTTTGACATTTGTATATTTTTAGGAAGTAAGGCCAAACATATAATAAATCAAGGAATTTCTGACCTATTATCTATTGGCAAAGTTGTTTAGCTGTCAAAGCTGAATCATTTGATATCAATTTCTCATCTGCTTTGTGCATAAAACATTAATACACCACATATTTAAACATTCCAAGGAAGTTTCATGCCTTTTAGACCATTTTTAAGATATCTAGCTGATGCTGAAAGTATTGGATTCTACCACGGGTGCAACATGCAAAGTTTGAGCTTTGCATTACAGTCATCTACTTTGGTCTAAGGGTGTCCTCTAGAGGCCCACATGCACCAAATTTGGCATGCTATGTCAAAGTCTTAGACTGTATAAATGTGTGAAGCTTTCTGATATTCAGAGAAAGTAAAACAAAAGAGTAATTGTTAAACACTCTGCTGTGGATATTTTGACTGCAGTTTCATGAGTAGTTTGCACAAATGGTGCCATATTTAGCCTTTTAACATCCCCCAGAGATTTAAACCAAATGTGGCACACTTTATCAGAGTGTTAATATGAACAAATATTCTCCTTTGGCCTTATTCAGACAATATATGAAGAAGTTTCAGGCAGCTGAAGTCTTTTATTTTGCAGACAGAAGATAAATGATAGGGCCTGAGTTTATCAAATGACCTCCTTTTGTTATAACTGTTCATTTGTTATAACAGCCACCCACAAAGATGATGTATGCTAAGATGTATGCTAATGTTAATTTAAACTGTTTGACCTTTGTATATTAAGTCAGAGATATGTAACAAAAAAAATCTGACAAAGACTTAACTTTCTAAATTGTATTTGCAAATTTGTTTATCTGTCAGAGTTCAACCATTTGATGATCTCTAGTTTACATAAGATTTTATATAGCGCATACTTACACATTCCAGTGAAGTTATATTTCTCTTAGCTGAGAAAGCTGATGGGCTGATATTAGCCAAGTTTTTAAAATATCAAGCTGCTATTGGAAATCTTGGTTTGCATGCTCACATGGATCATTCATATGCACATATCAGTTATATACTACATGCTCTACAGATTGCATCAAGACCAATTTTGAGGTCTGTAGATGAAAACGCTAGGACTAGTTCAAAAAGTGCTATTTTTGAACAAGTGGCCATTGAGGAAATACTATGCTTTTTTTGAGAACACTTGTAATTGCACAGTTGTTAGGGGTTGTGCGGTGCATAACGTGGATCAAGTTTAATGTTTAAAAAGTGGAATGCACAGTGAGATATGCTTGATTTTAATGTTGGAAACATCAGTAGCGTTCCCCATTAGCCAACTTATGAATCTTAATAGGCTTATAGAAAGTGTCTACATGGACATACCATTCAAGTTTTGTGATGACTGGCCAGTGTTAAACCCATGAAACACCTGATGAATGCTGATTCTCCAATGGTGGTCAAATTTTCAACAAATCAGGTCGTCAGTAATTTCCCACATAAAATCTAGCGCAACAATGAAACGGATGCTGAGATATAGCTCCCTGGCTTTTATAGTGTCCCCATCAGACAAAGTGTTCAAGAGTTGCCACCGGTTAAGTAAAATCTGTGCAAAAACTGAAAGATTAATTTGCATGTGGCAGCCATTTTGTTTTGAAATGTCAACGTATTTTAGATAATTATTAACCTTCCGGCTCCTGTGTACAGTTGACACTAGTTTTGTGAAAGAAGGGAACCAGGGATTAGTTTGCAAAGCAGGTTTTGCATAATATGAAAATAAGTAAATAATCTTTCTGGGCAGAGTCAAATGGTCCATGTTGTAAATTAGTTTTGTCTGAGCCAAGAATAAACTAAAAAAGAGTTCTGGCTGTACATCCTACAGGTTAGGAGGGCTAAACGCATCAGTGTACGCTGTAGCGCCCCCATGAAGCCGATCAGGTTGCAGGAGGGGTTACTACCAGTTGGCCAATTTTCGCATCTCTATGACTTACATCTTCTTCTTCTGGCCGATTCGTTTTAGCTGAGAATTAGAAGAATAAGAAAAACCCTAAACAATTCCAAAAGGTTTTCAGGACTGCATGCTTGAACCCCTAATAATTATGGAGTTGACTGTATTGACCAATCAGTGCAATGGCATTACAGTCCAATAAGTAAGAATAAAGCTAGTGTAAGCTAATTCTGCAGAACTGAACTGACCTGATGCAAAGAGGGCACTCAAAGTCAGACGTGGCCAGGACACTGAGGAATGACTCTCGGTCCACACTACATGTGCCTAGGAGATAATAACCAAGGTACAGAAAATGAAAGTGCAGAGCTCTGCCAGGCATAATGAGAGGCTTGACAAAACCATTTAAAATAGTATTTATGATAACAGTATTAGTCACATATTTCAGTACTTCAATTAAAACATGCTTAAAAATCCCAATGATCAGCTTATTAAATGCTAATTAATGAGAAAACTTAAAGAGAAAAGTGTCAGCGGTTTATGGCAGTGATAACTGCAGTCTATAATCCTCCTACCTCTCGTCTGTCTCTCGTCCTTCCTCATCATCAGCTCTTCATCATCCTCGGCTGTGGGCAGGAAGGAAACAGCCTGGCACAGACTCAAACAACACTCTGTACTGGCATCCTGCTTGACTTTAGATGCAGTCTGAGTCTGCTGCGGAGAGAGAGGGAAAGGGAAAAGATGACCCGGTCAATCAGCTAATGGATAAAATAAACTGTGCTGTTAAGCAAAGGAAGAAAAACATTCTTTTCCCACAAGCTTTTTTCTCTTTGAAGTCCAGTCATATCTAAATTCAGCACATATCAGATTGTAATGTCGTCTTTTCTGGCACCACATTGGCATAGTGGTGGTATAGTATAGTGGTATAGAGCTGAACTGGCACTAGATACAGTAATGCCCACTTACAAACCCCAAATGTAATATACTTGCTTTATGGTAAAGGGGAATTTTATTGATTTCTCAGAATTTCTGTATAATTAAATCTTTGAGAGATAAACCGACTTGGTTTGATGCTTCACTGTAAAGAAACTTGCTGTTTTCTTTACAATATTGTTATAATAAAAAAAAATAAATAAATAATAAAAAAAAAAATATATATATATATATATATATATATATTCATACACACATACACGTTGTGTGTAAATTTCATGATGAATGGACCAAAAGAAACAGGCCAGAATGACTTGCAAAAAATTCTGGTTCCATTGACTTACATTAAAAGTAAAGTATGTTTTTTCCTTCTCCTGTAAAGTTACCATTTTGGAGATGCGATGTTTTGATCCGACAACAGCTATATATATATACACACACACACACACACACACTCCACTCTGACTTTTTTTTATGTCTTAATGATTTAATTATACAAATATATGACCAAATCTGTGCAGTTTACCTTTAAATAAACCTGTTGGTGTATTAACTGGAGACCTGTTCTTAACTTAAACCCAATTTTTGTAACTGAAAACCTGAGAGAAGAAGCCAATAAATCCTCAACATTTTGATGGTCAGCGTAGATTAGGGATTTAAAATCTTTTCCATAAAGGGCCGGTGTGACGTCAGGTCTTAACTCCAGTTGAGTAGGAGCACTTAAATAAAACAGTCCTCAAACAGTTGATCAGGTCTGCTTCCACTTGGTTGGAATGAAGATCTGCTGCCACACCGTCACTTTGCAGTTAAGACTGAAGATCCCTGATGTAGTTGGTGTGGCAATATTAAAGTCATTTCACCTCCTCGTAGTCAGCTCTCTCCTCCAGCTGCTTCAGGGAGCACTGCAGCCCCTCTGAGAGAGAGGGGCCCACAGAGCTTGTAATGGGGCTGGGGTCCCTGAGATACTCGGCCACAACTTGCAGGATCCGGGGGACCTCTTCTGGTACCGCCATCCCCTCTGCCTCCAAAATCTTGTCACCACAGAAACAGGAGAAATTCAACAAAAAATTGAGTAAAAAGAAAAGTTCAACTGGAGTGAAATTTGTTTTGCACCAGAATACCAGAATTCATTATGGCACTATTACTTTAAAGCAATAGTTTTGCCGAAAAATCTAATTTACACAGGCTATGTTTACATGCAACGATTTTTGCCAATCCGATTGAATACAATCCGATTACAGATTTAGACTGAGGTGTTTATATGCACTCTATTCAACAATCTGATGGAAAATCTTCGTTTACATGCTCACTACAAGTAATCCGATGCAAAATGACGCGCATGCGTGGAGTAGCGCTTAGAGTAAACGTTACCATGACAGCGAACATCACGTGAAGTCCAGACCAGTTTCTGCTCCGCCATGTTGAGCGGTGTAAACTTTCGCCGTGGCGCGACGCACATGCGCAGAACATACTTACACGTTCCGATTGGAATGTAATCGGATTCAGGCGTTTACATGGCTATTATTCTTCTATTTAACGGATTATTTAGAAGTTTACCCACCTCGTTTAATCGGATAGAAATTGTATTCCGAATGGCCTCAATCGGATTAGACTATTCCGATTGAGGTGTTTACATGGACGTATTCTATTCCGATTGAGCTATTAGTCGGATTATTAACGGATTATCAGGCTGCATGTAAACGTGGCTACAGTTTCCCTTACCCAAAGTGGTTGCAATCAGCCAAAATGGCTATGTTTACATGCAAAGATTTTTGCCAATCCGATTAAATACAATCCGATTACAGATTCAGACTGAGGTGTTTATATGCACACTCTATTCAACGATTTGATGGAAAATCTTCGTTTACATGCTCACTACAAGTAATCCGATGCAAAATGACGCGCATGCGTGGAGTAGCGTTTAGAGTGAACGTTACCATGACAGCGAACATCACGTGAGGTCCAGTCCGCGTGAAATGAGTTTCCAGTTGGCGCGCTTGTGTTTTAATTGCTTTAAAATGATGTCAGATTCAGGAAAACGTGCTTCACATGTGCTTATAAAGTAAGCGGCGAGAGGAAGACGTCGTGTTCTGAGACTCATAAGCTAGACGTCCGTCCCACCGCCGTCTTTTAAAGCTCAGAGCATAAACTTCGTCTCCTCTGCAGACCCGTTTCTGCTCCGCCATGCTGAACGGTATAAACTTTCGCCATGACGCGACGCACATGCGCAGAACATACTTACACGTTCCGATTGGAATGTAATCGGATTCAGGCGTTTACATGGCTATTATTCTTCTATTTAACGGATTATTTAGAAGTTTACCCACCTCGTTCAATCGGATAGAAATTGTATTCCGAATGGCCTCAATCGGACTAGTCTATTCCGATTGAGGTGTTTACATGGACGTGTTCTATTCCGATTGAGCTATTAGTCGGATTATTAACGGATTATCAGGCTGCATGTAAACGTGGCTAATGATTGGTGTCAAGTTTGCTTCTTTAGTTTTGTATTGGAGCTACAGGGCTAAAGCAGCTGAAAACACACTTGGTTCAAACCTCATTAGCCACGTTTACATGCAGCCTGATAATCCGTTAATAATCTGACTAATAGCTCAATCGGAATAGTCTAGTCCGATTGAGGCCATTCGGAGTACAATTTCTATCCGATTGAACGAGGTGGGTAAACTTCTAAATAATCCGTTAAACAGAAGAATAATAACCATGTAAACGCCTGAATCCGATTACATTCCAATCGGAACGTGTAAGTACGTTCTGCGCATGTGCGTCGCGTCATAGCGAAAGTTTATACCGTTCAACATGGCGGAGCAGAAACTGGTCTGCAGAGGAGACCAAGTTTATGCTCTGATCTTTAAAAGACGGCGGTGGGACGATCGTCCAGCTTATGTGTCACAGAACACGACGTCTTCCTCTCGGCCGTCTTTAATAAGGACATGTGAAGGACGTTTTCCTGAGTCTGACATCATTTTAAAGCAATTAAAAACACAAGCGCGCCAACTGGAAACTCATCTCACGCGGACTGGACGTTCGCTGTCATGGTAACGTTTACTCTAAGCGCTACTCCACGCATGCGCGTCATTTTGCATCGGATTACTTGTAGTGAGCATGTAAACGAAGATTTTCTATCAAATTGTTGAATAGAGTGAGCATATAAACACCTCAGTCTGAATCTGTAATCCCAATTGGCAAAAATCTTTGCATGTAAACATAGCCATTGATTTGCTAAACAGGGTTACCACCCAGCCAGGACACAAAATGACCCAGAATTTGAGCATATTCATACTGTAGCATTTCTTATTTGTTATGAAATGTCAATCAGATCATTAATTGGGTGTTTACAGGCCTAAGGTGGGAAACCTATTGTTAACTGTAAGCTATCTCAAATCAAACCTTGAAACCTGAATTTTTCCATTTTTATAGATGAGGCATGGCATTTGATTGGCCACCCCAAATCTTTCAATATCAATGTGCAGTGCAAACGCAGCTGTTGCTCTTCCCATATGGGCTGTCTGAAATTTGACATGAGAAACTAAACACAGCTCATCTGTGTTGCCACCTTTAAGTTCAGCTGATATGAAAGCGTTGAGAATGCATAATAAGGTAAGCTTCATGTGCAGTGCCTTTGCTTTGTAAGCTTGTTTATGAATTACTTAAGATGTTTAAAATCTCTCATTTTTATAAGCCTATTCAGTAGAGATGCCAATACAGTTAACTCAAATGTGATCCTACTGTATTGAACAACTCAAGGTTGATAAACTAATCTAGCTGGCTCAATATAACAGTCAAACTAATAACGGGTTTGTCATTATGATTTCCCAAATATAAAACGCTTAATACTGTTAATATATTGAACATGTAAAGAGATGTAGTCTTTCACAATAGGGAAACGGCTGCTAATATAAGGCAAACATAAACATTATTACTAACTGAAAGTATGCATTTAAATAACTCATGCTTTCATTATGATAAATGGAAGAAGAAACCTTTACTATTAACTAAAGGTTTTAACTGAATACTATATAGTATAAAGTGTAATTGTATTTACACGTTTTGATAACCTGAAATAATTCATCCATTTTCAAAATTTCTCCATAATTAAATGTTTGCAATGTAAACAGATGTCATTAAGAGTGGTTTGATGTGAGATGCTCTGTCCTAGAGAAACGTATCGATTCAGGATTGCTCACAGTTGTGGTGATAGGAACCAGACGTCTGAAGAAGTAAAGCCGCTAAAAGCTACCTTAGCACAGGCTTATTACATGAAATGGTTACAAATGTGCTGTTGTCTGAGACACTATTTTAATATATTCTTTAAATCCATTCATGGTGGAGAGGCAAATGCGAGATTTTAAGGCAAAATAATCCCTATAGGAAACTTATTTTTCAGATTTATCACTATTTTAGCATCAGCATTACATACATAAACTCAGAATATGCGTAGGTTCACTGGTGGAAACCACTATGAATGACTTTTTTTTTTAAACACATATCAACGATTGAATTAGAATGGAATTCCCCTTTAAGCTTCGCTATGTCGTGGCCACCCCCACTAACTTTATGTCCCATCCGTTCTACCACAGTCAAAATGTTCTGGATCCTCCACTGGCATACAGTGTCGGAAAGAAACCTCAGACACCAAATGCATTTGGCTGATTGACTATATTTGGAGTAAAGGGAAAAGCTTTGATGAGTAACGTCCATGAATAATGTCTAATAATGTCTAAGTTAGTACAGCTTGTGTGGGCGCATCACTGTCTGCCTGACCTACCTTCTTAACCTGGTTCTTAGCAGGGGCAAAGTCAGGCTGCTGCTTCAGACAGCGGTGGAACTGGATAAGCGCTTCGGTTTTCCTTCCCATCTCCAGCAGAACATTCCCTTTCCGGAAAAAACCCTACCCACAGGAACACAGGGCATGGGAACAGGCACAACCAAGACAAGCAAGACATTCACCATGAAATATGATTTATATTCTCCACATATTCTCCAGCTTTGCATACTCTTTGCTTAGCAAAGTTTAAATAATCCAAAGCAAATCAGTGACAGACCTTTACTAATCATAAGGCTGCACCAATATAGATAGCCTACATGTTCAAAACTGCTACTGTTGCGTCATAGCAAGACAGGCTGTCGACACCACAAGAGTCAAATTACCCTTCCTGCATACCACAAGCAGTTTTGAGCATAACAACAAGCATAAGAGGTCTACTGTGGCAATTGCGCCATAACCCTTCACTCTTATAATGACCTGTTCAAACCGGCAGTCCCACAACATGGCTCTCATTCAGTACGCCATACCAAAGGGCAGTTGAGAAGAACTGATATAAAACATGTAAAAAAAATAAATAAATAAATAAACTCTTACTTTAAACTTTGTGTTATACAACATTCTGTTATAATCTGTTCAGAGTTTTATACAAAAGAAGAAAAGAATACAGCAGCTCCATGTGGTGCCCTTGTGACAGGTTAATGATAGACGGAGTCTTGATTCAAGATCACATTTCTGTCCACTCAGATATCTGATATAGATTTTTTAGGCCTGATAAGACTATGAGTAATCTTACGCAAGAGCAGTACTCCTATTTTAAGATGCTTCAGCAACAAAGTTCATCTTTGTCATTTTCATCTTAGAACTAATTTCATGTATAATAAATAAGTAAATAAATAAGTAACAAAAAAAATAAATCACTGCCTGACCAGCGTGACAATGCCAATACATGAACAGATCAGATTACATTACACGTGCACAGAGTGACGCAATTAGATTGGTGAGAGTAGCTTTAAGAGTCGTGTCTAATATTATAGCAGCTGTGTGCTCTTTTGAGCCAGGCTTAAACAGTCTCCCATAGGTAGAGCTAAAAACCTAACAAGCCAATTACAAAGCACACACATGCACAGGTAACTCCAGATAAACTACTCTATCGTCAACTAACATGTAAAATTGCTTTAAACAAGATGATAATTCTGTCAGAGGGATGCCTGATGACTAGTCACAACAAACGTGCATCACCATAATGAGCTTTTTAAGGAATTAAAAATCCATTTTATTGTTTTTGTATGCCTACACCGAAAAGAACAATGTGTATATATATTTGTTCATTTTTGTAGATCTATATAGAATAGGGACTAGCACTGCTGAACAGCCTTACAATGCACAAAAATGGCTTACAATTGTGATGTTGAGTAATTAATATTTCTTTATTTTCTATTTTCCATTTTGCACAACATATTTTATGTACATATCATGCAACCCTAGGCTCAATTTATCAAAACACCCACAGAAACTCTTTTGGATCATCTGAGCTTTGGATAAGATGGTCACAGTGCACAATAAAACATTTACTGATTTGTTGGAGGCTCATTATAGCCAATACTGTGATATCAGTATTGCAAAAACCAGTATCGGAATTAACAATTGATATAAATGCAATATAAACAGCACTCCTTCCTCATCAGCGAGTACCATTCCTTCCAGTTTCAGTGAGCTGTGAAAATCATTTACTGAGGACATATGGTTGTATGCAAAAGTGGACACCCTGTCAAACCAGTACTTGGTAACACTCCCTTTTGCACATATCAAAGCTTGCAAATGCATTTTGTAGCCTGCAGAAAGTCTTTCTATTCTTGTTTTAGAAATTTTCACCCACTCTTCCTTATGAACATGTGTAGTTCTGCGATACGCAAGCTTGCATGCAACAGCATGTTTTAGATCTACCCACAGATTGTCAATGATGTTCAAGTCAGGGGATTTTGAGGGCCATTCCTAAAGCTTCAGCTTGCGTTTCTTGAAGTAGTTCATGGTGATTTGACGTCTTTTAGATTAGCGTCCTGTTGAAGAAGCCAGCCTGTGTCAGCTTCAGTTTTCTGACTGTGTCACATTTGCTTCTCAAATTTGCTGATATTTAAGTGCAATCCATTCTTCTGTCTACCCATGCAATGTTTCCTGTGTCACTGGCAGACACACAACCCCAAAGCATAATTGAGGCCCCCTCAAGCAGTCGGCAAGGTGTTCTTTTCATCAGGTGTGCCACCACTCCTGTGTCAGCTAAACCTTCTTGCAGGTCCTTTGCTATCATAAGGGGGTTTTGCTTTGACTTTCTGGCCAGCATATGAGCAGTTCTACCTGAGAGTTCTCTTGGTCTTCCAGATCTTGCTTTGACTTCCACAATTCTCCTTAACTGCCATTTCTTAATGACATTTCAGACTGTGGAATTGCGAGCTGAAAGCACTTTGATATCTTTTATAGCTTTCTCCCGTTTTTGATCTCCATACAGCTGCTTAGAGGAGCCCATGGTTGTTGAGCGTTAGCACAAGGTTTGAAGAGTCAGATAATTGATTACATTCTGGAACTGTCATCAGCTGACTTCCTAATGATAATTCTTGACCTGCTTAACCAGTCCTATTGAGTCATGTAAGGCCTAAAGAGTTAAACATGTTCTGAGAATTTAAGGGTGTGCAAAATTTTGCACATGCCACAATTACTGTTTTTTTTCTATTTTTATGCTAATCAAATATAAACTTTGCATTTACATTTGTGGAAAAAATCATTTTCTCCAGAGATTTACTTCTTTTCATTTCCAAAACCAACAAATGATGTACGGCCAGTGGTGGGCAAAATTTTTCATACAACTGTAAGTGTCCAGCTTTAGGCTTTACCTCAGTCCAGTTGGGCCTGGCACCACACAGGTCCTCCAGGTCACGGAGGGCATCTGAGAAGCGACGGAGCCCCATGCTGGCTTCCGCCCTCCACACTTTCAGACTAACATCATCAGGAGCTGGAGGAAGAGATGAAGATAAAGAGGAAAAAAAAAGATTTGGTTAAATCTGTGTCAGTCTGTGCATTACCCAAATACAAGCAGTTGCCTACAGGCACATTGAATCACCTTCTCGACAGCATAACCTTACACAAGTCTTCCTCCCACACTGTTGTTTACACAAGAGAAAGTGCTTCTGTACTGGCCAACTGCAATGCATACATAACTGCTTGTAATTGGACTTAGATCATATAAGCAATATGTAATACAGTTGCGTGTTCGGCTCAGTCGCAGGGTTCAAGTTCAGCGGATATGGCTGTTTAAAGGTAAACACAGACAGGGACAGAGGAGGGTGAGTTACAGATTAACATGAAGGTGTGACACTAACTGGAAGTCCACCATTCCTAGAGAGCATTGTGTAACACACATAAGCAAATTCTGCACAGCTGTATCACAGGCACTTAAGGCAGCAGGTACATCTACCCGGGGTTACTAAACATGCAAAACAAGACTGTGTCATCAGAAAATGTTATGCAAGTGGGAAAATACACAGAGGACAGAACTCACATGTTCCACTGCCTCTAATTGGACTTAAGTAAACACTAACATTTCTATGCTTCACAGAAGAGTTAAATAAGCAGGCATCATGCTAGTGATTTTAAAAATAATTTAGTAACAGAAAAAACAGACATGAGTTCAACTCTGAACCAAATATTTCACATACAAATGAATTAGGAATGCACCGATATTGGAATTGTGGGCTGATATTCGATATTTTTTATGAACATATCTGCTGATGCTGATACCAATGTCGATACATAATCATTTATGAAGTAGAAATTGGAACTAAATCCACATAGATTAAAATTACAGAAAAATTTGTATAGGGCTACAAATGCAGAAAATTTTACATTTTACAGCCCATTTTGTTTGCCGAATGGTATTCGGTCCATTTCTGGCTAATTCCAGGTTGTTTAGGTGTTCTTCTGTCACAGCTGCTGACAGTTTCAGAATTATTGTAGTCTCATCTTCAGAGTCTGACCAAATCGGCTGTCGGTCAAATGTAATCTTAAAAGTATTCATTTTCTGTTTGAGCGCAAAGTAAGAAGTAAAAACATTCAAATGGCTTGAGCGTCTCCTACAGCTGTCAAAGTCGCTGCTTAGCAATGGCGTCTCAGTGGAGTGAAACAGTGTTTGTGAAAAAAACTGTGATGTTATGGCGCAATAACAGCATGGTTAGAACGTTTTTCAACCAATTAGCTTGCGTGGCCGGAACTAACTGTTGTATAAGAGTTTTTTAAAGACAGAAATCCCACATTGTGTAACCACCACCATTACAATTTTGCTTTTAAAATGGAATTTAAAATATAACATCTATGTTTGTTATAGATACGCAGCCTTTTTATTAAAATATTGTGAGAAATGGTTTGGTAGTTATCATGATATAACATTTTTAGATCGGCACATGCCTGCTTGAAGACGTTTTCATGAAAAATGATACACATAGTTATTTTGTTTTTCTGGGGTTTTATAAATTGCTCTACTCAGAAAAGTATTTTAAAAAAGTATCAAAAACCCTGAGTACAGTTATTTCACAGTGTTTTAAATACTGTGCTCCTTTAAATTCAATTAGACATGACTAACTGTGCCCTTTTTGTAATGAAACATGCAGTTGGTCAGTGTTCCTTATGTACCGACCACAATATTCTCAGAAAAGTGAATCATGACATAATTTATCACGATAATGATAAAATATTGTGATACTGCCAAACCATTCAATATAGTATTGTTAACAAACATTTATGAAGAGCTGCCCAGTCATTCCCATCTTAAAAGTCCCTGTATAAGACAATGTATCTTCGATTCTGGTGTTTGAAAATCGTCATTGTGTAAAACATGTAACAAGAGATATTGTCAGCAGCATGTTTTAAACAGAGCCATAGGCAAATCATGATTCAGCCCTACTGACCTCTGGACTGCGTTTGTTTATTATAAATGATACATGGCCTGATTGCTAGCAGCACATTTTAATCCACTTTCCGAGCTCATTAACCTGTTAATATCTACCCTGAGCTTATGAAATCACTAATGCGCTCAACAATCAGGTCAGCTCTTCAACTGCTTTCATGCGTGGGTGAAAGCTGGCACTCGCAGAGACTTTATCTATATTAGGCATCAACAATCTACAATAAAGCCTTCCCAGACCAGCCAAAGATGAAAAAATGAGGCCTCAGTACAATATTTTACAAGCACCCAGGTTAAAAAGTGTAAACACCCCTAAAAATGTTGGACTGGGTAAAAAGACTAATTAATTCATTGTAAGTGAAGTCACTTTTTAGTTTGCACAGATAAGTTGCCTATATCACACGTAACATGATCAATGCATATCCATAAACATGGACCTCTGTGAGTCTTCTGAGCCAAGTCAACTTCTAAACTGTAGTCAGGCAACTTCCACTTACGCAATCATGTCAGTTACTTCACACACATGGACTGGACTGGCCATGTAAGCTGGGAAATGTAGTTCTCCATGGTGAACTACTATGTAGTTAAAAAGAAAATGGGCTATGAGCATGGATAGAGAAAGCAGAGAAGATTCTGGTACGACAGCTGCATACTTTAGGCTTGTGTAACTCTCTGTCTGATCTATGTAACGATATGTATGTATACACCCTTTGGCTATAATCTTAAATCAGCTCCATTTACCCTGTAGGTGCGCTTTGTAGTTCTACAATTACAGACTGTAGTCCATCTGTTTCTCTGCATAATTTGTTAGCCCCCTTTTACCCTGTTTTTTTAAAGGTCTGTACCCCAACATGACCACCACAGAACAGATATTATTTAGGTGGTGGATCATTCTCAGCACTACAGTGACACTGACATGGTGGTGTGTTAGTGTGTGTTATGCTGCTGCGAGTGGATCAGACGCAGCAGTGCTGCTGGACTTTTTAAACACCTCAGTGTCACTGCTGGACTGAGAATAGTCCACCAACCAAAAATATCCAGCCAACAGTTTCCTGTGGGCAGCGTCCTGTGACCACTGATGAAGGACTAGATGATGACCAACACAAACTGTGCACCAACAGATGAGCTACTGTCTCTGACTTTACATCTACAAGGTGGACCAACAAAGTAGATGTGTCTAATAGAGTGGACAGCGACTGGACATTGTTTAAAAGCTCCAACACTGCCGTGTCTGATCCACTCGTACCAGCAGCACACCCACCTCAGTGTCACTGCAGTGCTGAGAATGATCCACCTCCCAGATAATACCTGCTCTGTGGTGGTCCTGACCATTGAAGAACAGTGTGAAAGGGGGCTAAAAGAGTACACAGAGAAACGAATGGACTATGGTCTGTAATTGAAGAGTTGCAAAGTGCACCTATATAGTAAGTGCAGCTGTAAAAATGCACAGTGAGTGTAGAGTGTAGATATAAGGAGGTGGTGGTTTGGATGTTGTTGCTGATCCGTGTGTTTCTGTGCATCAGCAGCAATTTGAGACTTGCTGGCTGCTGTCCCTTCCTACCTGTCTCTATCCCGTCCTCTGCAATCCGCAGGGCTTCAGTAAACTCGCATGTTTTGAGCTTTTCTTGTATGTGGCACTTCATTTTGGTCTCCTCCGGGCAGCATTTCTCGATGATGCTGAAGAGCAGAACGTTGTTCTTGATGGTTTTGGCGTCCCTCTGCTTCAGCCGCTCCTTGCAGGCTGGACACCTCGACGGCAGCCAGGCGCCCAGGCACCTCCGGCAGAACGAGTGGCCGCAACTCATCGTCACCGGTTCGCACATCAGAAACAGGCAAATCGGACACTCCAGTAGATCCATTTGGGTCAGGCTTTTGGGTGCAAATCTAAGTCGAATCGCTGAGGCCCTGTCAGTCCTCTCAGTCAGGCAGGGTGTCAAACAGGGCGAAGTTTCGGCCCCTCCGCGGCGTGTGGCATGTCTGGTCTGGCCGACAAGTTGAGTAACGCGTCCATCTGTCGCTATCTGTGATTTTCGGTCTCTTACTCACTCCTTACATGAGCAGCTTTTTGAAACTGTCCCCCTTAAACGCCCCCCCTGGACTTTTTGTCTACCACCGAATAACTCGCTTGTAAATCTCATCTCAGTCCTGCCTCAGTCTCCCAGTCTGTGAGCACAAACTAGTGTTTCCTCCGTGATGAACGGGGCTCACGCGGCTTCAGTCCGAGCAGCGTGGCTTTAGTCTTGCACGCTGCGCCCAACTCCATCAACGCCGAGCAACACAAATGTAATTAAAATTATTTCTTATTTACACAACCAGTATCTCTCCATAGCGCTGACCGTGCTGCGAAAAAAGCTCGGCTCGCTCCTGACACCATTACGTTACATAAATAAAAACCACGTGATGCGCCAGCCCCGTTTCTATTGGCCGGCGGGCTCCGCGTCCCACCCTGTTGTGAAACAGCGTCGCTCGGGTTTCGTAACCTCGGCCACTACAACTATTTACACTATATAAAGTTCAGAAACTGCCGATATGAGCAGCCGAGCACAAACATTAATGTTCATCTATGATCAATAATGTGTGATAATTCCACAGACGCGCTCGCTGCATGAGCCTCTGTTTTTAAAGAATCAGTAACTGTAAATGCACATGTAAACTCTATACAACTGATCTGTAACTGATTAAAATATATATGATACAATCACTGCCCTGCGATGGACTGGCGACCTGTCCAGGGTGTATCCTGCCTTCCGCCCAATAACAGCTGGGATAGGCTCCAGCACCCCACCGCGACCCAGAAGGATAAGCGGTTTAGTTGATGGATGGATGATACAATCACAATAATTTAACCTCCCATTAGTTCATCAGATTTCACATATCTGTCAAAGCAAATGCCACACTGACACTATGTGTGTGTATATATATATGTGTGTACACACACACACACACACACACACACACACACGCACACACTTGAAATGTTCAGAGCCCCTAAAATCTACATTTAGGGGTGTCAAACTCAAACCACTAAAAGGGCCATATTAAAAAATCTTAACAAATCCGTGGGCCAGCTGTGTTTTAATTTCATTTTTACCTGACATTTTGTCATGACCCAAACTGACCATTGTTTATTCAAAATATGCAAAAAACTGCAACAGCAAAATAGGCATTGAATACTTGAACTATCTAAAATAATTTTAAATAAAACCAAATTGTTGTAAATAAAAACAATAGGCAACATTAGCAACAGATAACTGTTAAACCTCTGTAAATGTTTTTTAAAACCTTTATTACATAAAATGGATATGAATACACTTCCAGATGCCTGAGATATAGTTCTACAATAGAATTAAGGTTTTAGCATTAGCTTTTTAAAAATCCACTCATGTAAAAGAGAATCTCTCTCAAATGCACCTACCTTCATTTTTTACCATTACCAACATTACATATAAAACACATTTTTGGACAGTAGATAACTACATCTCAATAATGCAATTTTGTATTAAAAATATGGTTCTTTAAGAGTTCTTTAATAAAGATAATGGTACTATATAGAACCAAGAAAACTCAAAAACAACTGGAAAACAATTGCATGCTTGAAGAGCTGTTTGCATCGTTAAATGGTTCTTAAGCGTGATGTAGAACGTTATATATGGTTCTATATAGCACCAAAAATGGTTCTTCTATTGTTAGAGGCTTGTCATTGCAGAACCCTACAACACTTTGTTCATCAATCTGAACCATTTCACGATGCAAAACTTTTTAAGCATGCAAATAGTTCTTTGAGTGTAAATGGTTCTATACAGAACTATTGTCTTTATTAAAGAACCCTTGAAGAAACATCTTTTTTTAGGAATGTAGATTTACAGTAAATTTGTGCTAAATTGTTAGCAGAGCTCACCTATGCTGATCTGGGATACTTAGCACAGAAGATCATTACACAATAACAGTCTGTTATTTCATAGACGGGCTTGCTGCATTCATCAGTCTGTGTCTGCACTCTTCACAGCTTTGGTGGCGTCAGTAACCTTGTGTGCACCTCTCAGTACAAACTGCAGCTGAACTACAGATGATTAAAATGAACTTGGCAAGTCACGCTTTCATGACATGAACCACCCCTGTGTTATTCAGCCTCACACTAAGTGACAAGTTTGTGTATTTAACATTGTCTATTCACACAGCTACGTATGTTTTCTACACGTCTCATATTACAAAAGGAACCCACATGGTTAAGCTGCATGCTGTTCATTAGAATAAAGGGCAATTACGTAAGGGTGGCTAGTTAAAGGTTGTATAAGAGCTATAGTTCCTTGTTTCAAACTGCTGAATGTGGTTCTTCTGGAAATGAGACTGTAAACCACTATATCACATAACCTTGTTACATATTGTACAACAAGGTCTCTAGCTCTTTCCAGAAGGTCATTATGTTTTCATGCGCAAATTATACAGACTTGTGCAGGTTACACTCAAGCCAGAGAAACAAGAACATATCAGCTTTATTCATATCACACCAAACAGATCTTATGACAAGTCTTAGTAAATTTTGTACAGCACTGGGGAGTTGATTTCATCATTTGAAATCAAACATTTTGCCATTACTGAGTGGCTGAAGTGTTCAAAATAGCTTTTGTGTCAATCCACATTTGTGCTGTAATAAAGTTAAACAAAAACAAAACAAAAGCTAACAACTAAGGAACAATATACTACGCATCTTAAGTCATTTCATCAATGATACTACACATTGCAGCATCTTTATCCCATACTTTCTCCTTCTTAGTGGAGGGCACACTTTTGTCTGTTTGTCCTGCCATGCAGCTAACCCCAACCTCCTCTAAGTCCATAGGCTCAGTTTTCAGTCTGGACTCGCCTCCTGAGCCTGAGCCTGAGCCTACAGCCAGGCCACTTGCTCCAGCCCCACTAGAGGTGTCCGGCTGGGGCAAATCATCAGGCAGCGAAGCAAGGCAGTTATGGATCATCTCCACCACTCGCTCTAGGTGCTTCTGAAAGCGCTCAGCCGTCTCCAGCCTCTGCCGCTTCTGCACCTCCATCATCACACGCAGCGTCTCTCTGGCCTGATGCGGGCGGTATTCGTTGATGAGGTGGTGCATGTGAACAAAGAGCAGTTTCAGGTCCTCCAGTTTCTCTTCCCGTTTAATGCTTCCAGGGCTTTTAATCAGAATATCCAAGAGGTCCAGGAAGTTGACCAAGATGGACATGTTAAGCTTCTTCAGTTCCCGCTTGTGGTCAAACTGCATGGGATGCAGGCGCTCAATGCCCTGGCTCTCAAGCGGACGAATTATGAGGTCATCACACTGAAACTGATTGCCAAACATCAAGTAAGTGTCCCGAATTGGAGGTGGCGGTTTTGGAGCCAGTCCTTTCCGTACATTTTCGTCAGTGTATTCCTTGATGTACTGCGTCGGCGGCATCGGCAGGGCACTGACCTGCTGCGGCTCCCCCATTTTCAGTGTCTGGTAAATGACAAAGGAAATCAAACTTATTAGATGTTGTGTCAACATTATTAGTCAAAGAAATTAGGCCTGCATTAGTATAGGTTATGATGCTTTTTATAGCTGACAAAACTATCAGTGATCAGAGTGAAACTTCAGGGCTGATACAGGTGAGCCAACACCGGAGAAAAAACTTACTTATGCTGAAATAAAACTTGGCATTACTGGTCCCTCTTCCTGACGTCATGTCTTTGAGTTGAGGGTGAGTGTTTTTCAACTGTTTTGATGTCTGCCACAATCTCTACTTTTTAAAAGGGAATTCCACAAATTTTTCTACATTTTGGAATAACCGAGTTGTAAAAGAGTCAGTCAGAGTGGTTTAATGTGAAGTGGTTCATTGTAGAAAAACCTACAGACTCTGATTTCTTCAAAGTGGTGGTGATAGGAACCATGGGTCATGATATCTGCAACACAAATTTAGCCATTTTACTTCCTATCCAAAACCACCAGGGAACTACACGGGCCTTCTGGTTTTTATATGTAATGTTAATGACGGTTAAATAGTGGAAAATCTGGAGGGGAAAAAAGGTTTCCTTTGGGGACTATTTTGCTTTACAACACCTTGCATGTACCCCTCTGCCATGAATGGATTAAAATAAATGTATTAAAATTCATTGTAAGCCAAAACTTTATTATAAAACCATGTCAGACATCATGCAGCATATATGTGATCATTTCATGTAATAACTTGTAGTGATGCAGCTTTCAGAAACAAACTCTTCAGATGCTTGGTTCCTATAATCACCACTGGTAACAGTTCTGACTCGGTAAGTTTCTCTAGAACGGAGCATTTCGCACCAAACCACTCTGGATGGTTTTGTTTACACCTCAACAACTTAATTATGTAGCTAGCTACATTTTTTTAAATCGATGGAGTTCCCCTTTAAGTAAACGGCGTCTACTGTACTTAGCGAGCCGGACAGATAGCTAACCTAGATAAACAGGCATCTAACCTAGCTAAGCAAAGCAGCAGACACGGTCATCTTCTTGTCATTATTCGAAGTAGGACTACATTAAGACTACGCGACTTTCCTTCGGTAACGTTTGCTGTATAATGTTAGCTACAGAACATGAAACAGGCTAGCTAACGTTAGCACGTCGCTAATGCTAACTACGATAGCTTCTAAACAAACCACAAAACCTTATTCATAAACGACAGCCAGTCAGAAAGACCATATCAGTAATTAAAGCAGAAATGCATACGTACCCAGCTACTGTTTAATGGAGGAGATATTTATTATCCACTAAAGTAACTTAAACAGATTCTCAAAAAAAGGAAAACGGGCACACTCTTTTTCGCATTACGCCCGTGTGTCTGGTCAGTAAGGAGCCTTCTGATTGGACAAAACAAGCCTAGAAAGGAAAATATCATTGGTTCCACGTCGTTCAAAGGCGGGCTCAAAACAATAGATTTGGTAGCCGTCACATTAATCTGCCCCGTTACTGTCCCGTAGTACAGTTCTTGTCAGATCGTTGAACACGTTTGTCCGTTCAGAACTCATATTCTAAAAACAGTTCAAGGGAACATTTTTTTAAATGTTTACATAATTAAGTGGTTAAAATGTAAACAAAGTCGTTTAGAGTGCCACTATTTTACCATTATAAACAGTACATACAGAAACTCAGAAGACATGTTCACTGGTGGTTTTGGATAGTAAATAAAGTGTATATATTTGTGTTGTAGACATCAGGACCCCTGTTCCTATCACCACCACTGTAAAGAAATCTGAGTCTGTAACTTTCTCTACAACGAGCCATTTTACATCAAGCTGCTCTGACTTTGTTTACATCACAATAATAGAATTAATGGATAAGTAATAGAATCACTCCATTTTTCTTTTTTTCTATACATCTGAAACACAATTGTGAGTGTTGGAGGACAACACTTTCCAAAATTATGCCAAACTGTAAGACTGAGTATATCAGTAGAAGCATAGACTGTGTCAGAGGGTCTCAGACAGAAGGCTTTGCTATTCAGATTGTACTGAACTAAAATTTACAGTGAAATTTAGCCAAAACAATTTTAAATCATGCTGTCATTCACAGCATGTCCATGCATTTCCTTTTGTTATCCACTGAAGTTTTGTGTTTTTCTATGATATCTGTGTTAATTTTCCTGTGTCTGTGAAAAATGAGTGAAAGCAATGAGAACATATTCATACATTTACAAAAGGACACTTCTGCTTTGCTAAGAAAGTCACAATGGAGAATAAGTTGAACCCAGTTTTGTTAAATGTATTTTAGCAATTAAGAAAACTGTATTTTGATTACATCAAAATTATTTTATTATCTGTTCAATACTTTCCCATTACAATTTAGATGTATTTGGATCTGCGAATGTTTGTGAAACTTTTATCATCTGGAAAATGTATACATAAATGTGACCTAAAATACAATCAGATCTTCATTTAACTCACAAAAAATAGATAAAGAGAACCCAATAAAACAAATAACACAAAAGAGAATATTATTTTTCATTGATTTATTGAACTAAGTAACATTAAATATCCTTGTTGGCAAAAGTATGTGAACCTCTGCTTTCAGGAACTGGTGTGAACCCCTTGAGCAGCAATGACTTCAACCAAATGGTTCCTATAACCGTGATCAGCTTTACACATTGACCTGAAGAAATCTTGGCCCGTTCCTTCTTACAGAACTGATTCAGCTGTGTTATGTTGGTACTTTCTTACTTGAACGCCACACCTTCAATTTTGCCTTAACATTTCTATAGGTTTAAATTCAAATTTCAGCATTTCTTCTGCTTCAACCATTCTTTGTAGACTAACTGGTGTTTTAAGAGTTGTTGTCTTTCTGCAGGACCCACTTTCTGTTGAAGTTCTGTTCATGCATGGATGCCTGGACATTCTCCTCTAGAATTTCTTAATACAATCCAGAATACATACCTCCATCAAATGATGGCAAACTGTCCTTTTCCAATAGCAGCAAAACAGCCCCAAACCGTAATACTGCCACCACCATGTTTCACAGCTGGGATGTGGTTCCTCTGCTGGAATGCAATGTTCTTACTATTCTTATTCAGTATTGACCTGATTGTGGATTTGTGAACATTGACATTAGTCAGTGTAAGACAGGCCTGCAGACCTTTAGGTGTCAACCTGGGCTTCTTTGTGATCTCCCAGAATATTCTACGCCTTAGTCTTGGGGTCATTTTTGTTAGATGACAACTCCAGAGAAGGGTAACCATGGTATTGAATTTCCTTCATTTGTACACTATCTGTCTCACAGTGGATCAGTCAAGTCCAAATCCATCAGAAATAGTTTTGGAACCTTTTCCAGCCTAAAGAGCATTGGCAACTAATTCTCTGAGGTCAGCAAAAATCTAATTTGACTGAGACATAACATGCACTGACAAATGTGTGGGGTAAAGACCAGATGATGAAGATTGATTTCTTTTTCAATAGGCTAGGTTCAGCCACTCTCACACCTGGTTGCCAATTAATTAAAACTCCTGAGCCAAATTATAAACTATTCCAAACTGAAATTTCTAGAGGTCACTTTGTTTAATAAATGGATGAAGAACGATATAGTTGTTTGTGTTATTTGTTTTATTATGTACTTTTTGGCTATTGTTATGACAAATTAAAATCTGTTCACATTTTAGGTCACATTTGTCTGAAAATTCACAAAATGATAATAGGTTCACAAAACTTCAAGCAGCATTGTATATTTTGGTAGTGTCAGGAAGGCAGTTAAAAGTGGCATTATTTCTTCATTTCTGCCGAATTATCTAATTTCCTCTTGCTTTGGAAGTCTATTTTGTGTCTTTTGTCACATTAGTAATGCAGTGTAATGTGTGTGTAAGAGAGAGAGAGAGAGAGAGAGAGAGAGACTGTAAATGTATGTGCGCTGATATACCCTACTTAAGGAAGTGGTTTACCCAGCACGTTGTCTCCGGAAACCTGTACCTCATGATGCACCAGCGTTAGTCTACAGACATATGATACCTGTTACTAACACACACTTCACAGGGAGCAGCAGTATGCCTCAGGAGTGTTTCTTAGACACATTGATTTTAACATGTACCCACGAGTTATTCTGAAAGGAACCTTATTTAAGAAATCCCAGCAGAAGAGAAGAACTTCACCATGCAATTACAAAGAAAGATTTTTTGTGCTGAACACTCAGGATTTGTCATATTCCGAACGTCGTCCTGGGGTGAGTATATGCAGATACAATACGATAGCATGTATCTTCTTTAATGGAAGAAAAGACAAAAGACAATCTCTCCTTTAATAGTAGAAAATATTTTATAGAATTTATCTCTTTTAATGATGGAAAATATAGATGGTAGAACGCAGCAGATGTTTCTTCTTCGGTGGTCGAAAACAAAAGATACGATAGTTTTATATGATAATTTTAAACTGCAGAAAATAACAGATAAGTCTTCTTCAGTGGTAGAAAACAATAGAAAGTATAACATATCTCAGTTAATTGTCAAAAAACTTATACTTTTCTAATTTTATGAACAGAAAAAGACATTTACATACAACATAACTGTGTTTATAAAGCAAAGAAGTTGTGACTGTGAGTTGATATGTATTTGATGTACTTGATGTTGTATATATTTTATTTATCTTTGCTATTTTCTCTCTAAAAGTTGACAACTGTAACAGTACATCTAGAAAGTGAATAATTATGATCCAGAGAACATTCAGCTGATGCAATATCTTTAATGTCACCTCAGAAAAAGCCCGTTTTGAAAGGCTGCATTGAGCTTTCCCGGATCAAATGTGTAGAGATTGTGCGCAGTGATGTTCCAATACCCTGTGAATTCAAGTATCCTTTCCAGGTGAGAGTGCTGTAAACCTCAGCTTGACATTTGACATCTGAAAATTCAGTTTTACAGTCATTTGTGATAATTCCGGAGCACCATTCATTAAAATATCTTGGCTGTTTGAAAAAAATAAACCACTCCTCTTTGTTGTGTTTACAGGTTGTCTATGATAACTACTATCTTTACATGTTTGCACAAGACAATGACAACCGGCTGAAGTGGGTCAGAGCTCTTAAAGAGGGTGAGCAGCTGTTTCAGACTGCGGTGAAAAGGACATGCAGAGGCATGCATAGTCACTGTGGTCAAAATATTAATGTTTCATTTCATGCTCAATGTCTGACCTTGTCCACTGTTATGTTTTTGTTTATCTTGTGAAGAGACAAAACACAACAAGCTCTTGTTGACCTACCATCCTGATTTCTGGGGAGATGGACGATGGAGGTGTTGCCACCAGACAGAAAAGTTGGCGCTGGGCTGCAGTGAATACTTCCCCAGTGGAACCGGTACCTTGTTGTGTTTTTGCTGATTGTTTTTCATTGAATTATAAAAAAAACCTGCTCAGATCATCTCAGTCTGTGGATATACAGATGAATACATGTTTATGATGGTCGTTATCATTCATTTTTGACATTAACTTATCTTTGCAAATAGCGGATGTTCTCTGAGATCATTCGGGTTTTTTTTCTCCCCACAGCATCTAAAAAACCACTCCCTCCAACACCAGATCCACAGGTCGGTTAAAACATTAAAAATGTTGGTTCTAATTGTCATTATATTAAAAAAACTTTAGTGTAACAAGACAATTTTATTTTTGTTTGTCTATAGCCATGCTGCAATAAAAGCTCTTTAATGCAGTGAAGTGTGCCATAGAAATTCACTTGTCCTCACGTTTTTAAACCCCACTCCATAGAGCAGCGTTTATTTCCCTACAGAAAGCGTTCTCTATGTTTTTACTCTGCAAAAGTTTTAGTATATTCATATGTTTACTATGCTATAAAACTACATTCATAAATGTCTATTATATATGTTTACTAAGAAGCATATGGAGATCCTGCCTCATATTAAAGCATTTCTGAGAGTTTATGTTTGTTTGCCTGTCGCTACAGCGGCGATTCTCCAGCTCACAGGAGACGATTGTAGTGGCTCTGAAGAATTTCACTCCTCAAGAAGAAACAGACATCCCTCTGCACAAAGATGAGGAGTACATCGTCATTGACAGTTCACAGCCCAACTGGTGGACAGTCCGGGATAAAGATGGGTAAATATCCAGCTTTTGTTTCTCTGTTCATTTTTTCTAAAGCTGTGGGGATCTCATCAGCCAAAGAAAGACCCTTGATAAAGCTGCATATTACATATATGGTCCCTAACTAAGGCTTATACATCAACAGAGTAGAAACTTTTACACCTTATCCAAGCTGCCTAAATCCAAATCACATACTCAGACTCGTCAACAGGGTTCAGTTATTGTGAATTTAAATGTACATGTAAAAACTGTATTTCATTGACAGTTGAGATGGGAAAATTAAGACACTTATGGCGTTTTTCTAG